TTTAATTTTATATTTTTTATATGATTTATATTTGATTAATAAATAATTTTGAGATTTGACATAATCTAATTAAAGTAATTTTGAAGCAAATGATACACAATTAAGTTGACTATGGAGAATTATGTTGTACCATACTTGAAACAAAAATAAAACATGAATCACCTTTCGCCTGCATCGGAGCACATGAAAGAACGAGAGGCAGATTTTGTATGGTTAGAAGTGGTGGGGGGGGGGGGGAGGAGACCAAATCAAATAAAGATGTCAGTCCTTAAAAAAAAAAAAAAAAACAAAGATGTCAGTCTATGGCTGAAGAAAGACATTTTTAATATCGGGTGATGAAAATGAGGTGTGGTTCCATATAGCCGTACGTATATATTAAATGAAGTATTTCCCAAATCTATCAATCATCTTTTACGATAGTTTTCTGAATTAAGACAATTAAAAGTTAAGTTTAATGAGACAATTAGTATAATCTAATTATCCTCTCTCATGTTCATATGTGGAATGCATGAGGATGATTAAAATTTATTAGTCATCTTAATTAACACCATACACATTTATGATACTGTTACATCAAATTCACCATGTGATCATTAAAAAGGATAACCCTTCACTCCACTTTAATTGTTAATGGTAGGATGATGGCAGCTTTTGCCATCCTAACAGTAAGTTATCTTTCCAATTTTACTTCTAGAAAGTATAACGTACTTAAATGGAAAAAAAAAAATGTATGACTGATTTTTTAGACTAAATTATATCACATGTTTTTAATGGTTAGGATTAAATCAAATTTAATTTGATTTTTTAAAAATGTATAATATTATAGATTTTTAAAATTTAATTTGACCTTCCTTAAAATCAATAAATTCAAATTAAATTTTATAAATTAGGTTCATCATTTTTTTTAATTTAAATTTTTTATTTTTCAGTGTCATTTTAATATAATTATTAATATATTTAAATAAATTTATATATAAAATAATTAATTTTATTTTACAAAAATTTAAAAAATATATAAAAATTAATAAAAATATATAATTTAGTTCGATTTGGATATTTTCAAAATTTTTTACTTTCTTATTTGAAATTCAATTTGAATTTAATAAAAATATTTAATATATGCACTTGTAACCTTTAAAACCATTTATTATTGAACCAAATATTAAAGTTTTAAATCAATTTTTAATTTTTTCACTTTTATCTATAATTTTTGTTTGATATTGCATTTTCATTCATAATTTTTTAAATTAAAAATTTGAATTTGTAATCTTTAATAACTATTTCAATTAATTTATTTCGTAAATTGCGGAATTTATTACTTCAGCACATGTGAACATTCGGGCGGATGTGCTTTTGATAAAAAATTTTATTCATGATATTTGAGTTATATTTTATGTTATGTGAATGTTTATGTTATATTGATATGAAATATTTTATTAAAATTTTATGACAGTTCACGTAATGAATATATTTGAAACATTTAAAAAAAAAAATAATATTGTAGTTTTAAAATTGTGATTTTTAAAGATAGTAAACAAAAATGAAATAGTTCACAAAAATTACTCGGTGAATTTTACTTTGATCTTTTCATAACTTGAAACAATAAATCTTCCATTGTTCTTCCTTCTTAATTCCATTATTTTCTTTCCAAAACTTATTACTCCGTATATCCATAAAAATAAACATGTGACTTTCGTATAAAAGCATTTTGATATTAAAAAATTATGTGAACTAGTATAGCTAGTAGGGCAATTGTACTAATTTTTAAAGTGATGGTATAAACAAAACTATGGGCGCATGGTGGTTTCTTTCAATAATTTTCCTATCAAGTACTAATTCCAGCTTGGCGTTATATGCAGAATTGCATATTAATTTCTGTTTTCAAAATTGAAAATAAAAAAGCAGAATCCCCTAAAAAACAAAACTCATCAGGTGAGACCAAGACCATCAGTTTCTCTTGGGAAACAATTAGTTTCAGTTTAAAGACAATTTTTTTCCTTGCACCATTCTCTCTCATGCTGGGGTAAGCGGTACAAAAAATATAAAAATAATACATTTTCAATTTTTGATAAAAATTATAAATGAATTGGAGAAAATTATATATTTATTTACGTGTAACCAATACGGATATTTAAAAAAAGAAATTACGAGTTAATACTTTATGGAGAGAATTTTATTATTTAAAATAAAAAGAAAAGGAAAAGAAAGTAGTAGAAAAAAAAGAGGCTTTTTTGAGTTAGAAAAGTAGGCAATGGATGTGGGTTATGAAGACAAAGCAGAAAACTGAAGCCCGTGAACGTTGCATGTGAGAATGGAGAGCTGTTATAATCAATGCCACTTGACAACGTATAGACCCACTCATTCACGGGTCCCTTTTTGGCTTTTTATTTTTCATCAAATTCTATAAAATCCACATTAAATAATTAAAAACACATTGTTGGAAAGCTGGATAAGAAATAAATAATACTCAAGAAAATGGCAGCTGCGGCCATAGCAGCCCCAACCAACCACCATTTTTGCAAATAATGGCAGAAAAAAAAATCAATTACTGGCATGTTTCTGTTATTAGTCACATCACACTTTGTTTTAAACAGTGTAAATTCTAAATTTAATTCCTTCCATAAATAATGTATTAATTACTAAAAGAGATGAAAAGAGCGGAGAAGGTACACCTCTGTTAATTGTCAAAGTCATATATTTATTTTCAACAGGAGAAATTTTAATTTCAATTCTCTTTGGGGTAGTTATGAAAAATAATGCAAAGTTCTTTTCATACGTTCTATTGATATTACGAATATTGTATCACATAACGGAATGATGATAAAGATTTTTCTTGTTATAATTATGATAACATGTATTAATTAAGAAGAAAATATCAGAAAATTGTAAATTATAAGAAAAAAATTACTTTTTATTTATAAATTTCTTAGTAAATATTTGTTCGGCCTAGGAGCAATAAAATGAAGTTTATGTTTTGAAAATAAAATTTAATCTTTTTCTTTAAATTTATTTGTGATTTGTTTAAAATGTTTTAAAAGCATGAATAAAAATAAAACTCTTTGGAAGTTGTCTAAGGCTTGTTATAATTTCCAGCATGAAAACAAAATTTAGAATGATTATAAAATTTTTAAGTTTAAAAGATAAATGGTAAAGTAGTGAAATCTCGAACAATTCCAAAGATTATAACATAATTTTAGATTTAATATAATTTTATTTTTTTCTTTTAGTAATGAATTTGATTACAATTAATAAATATATCATAAAGTATTAGTCTTTGAATAACTTAAGAAGATAATAAAAATATAGTCTTTTTTTCTTTACTTTAAATTTTCTTAATTTTATACAATATGTTGAAAATATTTTTTACTATGTAATTATATTCAATTTAACAATTAAACTATACCTCAATCAAGAATATTTTATTGTGCATTTATCCTTTATTTTAGAACATTAAAGTGAATTATCTCAGAATTTAATTTTTTTTCATTATAAAATACTAGTATAATTTTTAATCAATATTAGTAAAATTTTTAAACGAAATATTATAAATTGCGTAATTACTTATTAAAAGAAAGTGACACATTTAATTTTTGGGTTACGGGTATCTAAGCTGACACTTTTTAAATCTTGCTTAAGGTCCAGTTTGATCCATCCATTGCAAACTTAAATTAAACCCCCCTCACTATTAATTTTTTTTATATTAATATTTTAATATTTTTAAATATACTTAAAATACAAATTAAATAAAAATATATTATTGATAAAATAATAATTAAAATCTCTATTCAAGGCTCCACGTGAGTTGAGCTGGGCTAGTAGCTAGTTAAATGAGCAAATCTAATTGCAATCTAATAAATCAAAAGTTAACATTACAAAAATAATAATAAACATACATATGAATTAATATCCCTTTAAAAAATTATAAAAAATTTATTTTCTTTATAATCAATATTTTGTCCATTAATCATAAATTTATAATATTATCACTCCAGTCCATTTCTAATTTTTCTTTTCATCTTTTTTGGAGCGCATGTGAAAAATAGCGCATCAGGATTCACAAAGACACCTAAAAAATGTTGTGTTTTAAATTTTGCAAAAATTGGAGGAAAACCACTTTCACTTTGCTTTTCATTTCTGGTCTTTTCCCTATTCCTCGTGAACTTTTTTTTCCCGGTTAATTCGATATTCGGAGTTCTAGGTTGTCTGTCTTTAATTAAAGAAAGAAAGCTAGGGACGAAGAAAATTCTGTAGTATCTAGAAGTATAGGTGCATTTTGGATGGAGTTGGGTGTTGGTTAATATATTTGTATTGATAGCAGATGAGGAAATTGGATGAGTCGCATGTAATAATATTTTTACATGTGGTGTGCAAATGGAACCCTGTAAGAACCTATTGTTTCAGCTAAATAAATAAATCCCAACCAAAATTCACACAAAGGGGAATAAGATAATTAAAAAAGAGAGAAGGGAAGGGGAGGGGAGGGAGAGTGAAACATAAAAACCCAGCATTATCAAACCCCCTTTTTTTTTTTTTGTCTTTGTCTGAATAGTCCTCATTGCTTTGGAGTCCTCTCCCTATTTATACATCAACCATCATTTATTTTTGGTACTCAAGCACAAGTTCTCCCTCTCCCACCCTGTCTTTCTTCCCTCTGTTTCTCACCTTGAGGGACACCAAAATAAAGAAAGGAAAAATGAGTGGCATTAGCTTCAGAAGCCTCGCATTTATGTTTTTGATTGCTTTTCTTGTGTGGTCTTCAAATATTGAAACTTGCATTGCTAGAAGAGGCAAGCATTGGAGGCAGAGCAGGTATGCCGCAGCTTCACTATCTAATAAGAAAGGAAAAGGGCATAGTAATGGTCATCACAATTACCAAAATGGAGGATCAAAGCCGAAAGCTCCTCCTCATAACACTACTCCATCAACTCCTCCTTCTCCCAAGCTGAAAGCTCCTCCACCTCCAAAGGAAATTGCTACTCCATCACCTCGTCCATCTCCTACGCCCAAAGAAGATTTCCCTTCAGCTCCCCCGCCCCAGAAAGCTTACAGCAATGGACAGTGGTCTAACGTCTTCGACGTGCTAGATTTTGGCGCCAACGGTGATGGGAAAACTGATGATACCAAGGTGATGTCAACTTCTCATTTATGCTCAATATATACAAAGTTCAATGTTGTTTGGGAAGTTTTAATTTTCCCCTCTAAATCAAACAACAAAAAGGGTTGATATTGCTTAAAAAAAATTCATCATTGCTACAAGAAGATGAAGGGAAGAAATTCAAAGCTCTCAAACTTCCATGCAATTCTAGCTAGTTCAATCAAACATTGGAAGCAATTCTAGTTCAAAATGCACCTCACGAACCTACATATCAATAAATTTTTATTTCACATTTAGTCAGGAGTATTAAGGCCAAAAACAAAAAAGCTTTTTCTATCTTTGGGAGTAAGACCGAAGAAAAATTACAAAAATTTAGCACAGCAGAATTTGTTGGTTAAAATATGGAATGCACAAAATTCGTATAAGGAAACAAAGAAAAGCAAGAAAAAGACGCGGTACACAGAAGAGAGGCACAACGATCGGAAGCTGGGCGGGTCCGCTTCAAAATAAAGAAAAGATTCTATTTGGGTTTAGTCACCATTGGAGCAATAATTACCATAGCATACAGTTAACTAACATTCAACCGTAATTATATGCATTTAGTTATACTCGTACCCGCACAGTAGCCACATAGCTGATTTTGCTATGGTGCAATGCAGGCATTCCAAGACGCTTGGGCAGCAGCATGTAAGGTGGAGGCATCAACGGTTGTTGTTCCAGCTGAATTCGTGTTCCTTGTAGGACCCATTTCATTCTCTGGTCCATACTGTCAAGCAAATATTGTGTTTCAGGTAAAACATGTGAGATCTTAATTTCTACTTCCTACTAGATTGTACGATGACTCAATGACATCTCCAAATAACGCTACCAAAGAAAATGGAAAGAGAAATGATAATAGCAGCCTGATATCGAGTTGTCAAGTGAAATAGCTGCTGCTGCACCTTATGATTATCATAGTATTAAAGAATTAACACTTGATCAATGCTGATGTGGCTGAATTTTTTTTTTCTCAGCTGGATGGTACAATTATCGCTCCAACCGACTCTCAACCCTGGGGTAAAGGTATTCTACAATGGCTTGAATTCACAAAGCTGAGAGGTATAACAGTTCAGGGAAAAGGTATCATTGATGGAAGAGGCTCAGGGTGGTGGCAAGATGCCCCATACGAAGATCCATATGATGATGAAAGAAAACTCATAATTCCATTAAACTGTACAGTTCAAGAAAAACCACCCATGCCGGTAATTACCTACATCAGTTTCACTTGCCTCTGAAATTCTATTGTTGATTGTCTGTAAACTAATCATATTTCTCTTACAAATTGGGTGGTAGGTCAGAAATGAACTCAGTGGAAAAATGCCGAGCATCAAACCAACTGTAAGGACCAAGCTATGAAAAACCAATCATATTCCATGACTACGCAGTCCTATGACATTTTTTCTTTCTTTCTTTCTGTTGCACAGGCACTAAGGTTTTATGGGAGTTTTAATGTGACAATCACGGGCATAACAATTCAAAACAGTCCTCAATGCCATCTCAAGTTTGATAATTGCATAGGAGTTGTGGTGCATGATATGACCGTCGCATCTCCTGGGGACAGTCCTAACACAGATGGAATCCACCTACAAAACTCCAAAGATGTGCTAATACATGGCAGTAATCTTGCCTGCGGTAATTATTTTAATTATCTTGCTAGTAAATAAATATTGTTGCCACACCACATTCAGTTAAACAATGGTGGGCCGCAGGTTGAGCTCCAGTCTTGACAAAAAGGAGTAAGACCTGCGGGTCAACATTGAAGATACAGGGTTAAGATAAGAACTTGTGAACAACTGACGTATCATAGAAAAGGTGACAAATTGAGTTATCTCCGATAGGATGCAGTAGGAAACATATCACAATCTTATCCTGCTCACCATCTTATTCCACACATTCTCTATCTCCACTAATAATTTGACAAGTGGCTGCCAGCAATATCCAAAATTTCAAGGATTAAAGTCACTAGTCACTTGACACGTGCAATATCTAAAGAACAGTGCGGCATCCACCACCCAAAATAGGATTAGGGTTGAACCACAGAGACAACAAGAATACATTTTTTGTTCTATTCATTCAAGTTTCCTTTTGTCTCCACTAACAGCTAAAACTTTTTGTTTTGATCCCCTAGTCTCTTGTCTACTTTTGCTTAGAAACAGGTTCTCATAACAACTTTTAATAAGATAATAGGCCTTACAATTCTAATGCTTTGGGCTGGTAATAAATGCTTAAATTGAATCAGCTATGAACATAGAGCTAATTGACAATGAGCATAAAAGACGTCTATTTTTCATGTTTACACTAACCTGAGCTTTTAAATCTAACAATTGGTGCAGGGGATGACTGCGTTTCCATACAAACAGGATGCTCAAATGTATACATTCACAATGTGAACTGTGGCCCAGGGCATGGAATCAGCATAGGAAGCTTGGGAAAGGATAATACCAAAGCTTGTGTCTCTAACATCACTGTGCGCGATATCATTATGCATAACACGATGAATGGAGTCAGAATAAAGACATGGCAGGTAACTATACAATCTTCACTCCCACATGATTACAAACTCAGCAAGTTTAAAATATAGCAATCAGAAAACACTGTTGGAGTAAATGTGCTGAACTTGGCTTTAATTAAATCCAAAACACAACCAAAACTATGTACTTTAACCATAATTTATAACAAGACTGGCTTCAGTATTATATTACAAGCCACCTGCAATATGACATGCATGAGCGTGCTTAAAAAAGAAAAAAAAAAGACAGCTAAAAGCAAGAGGAAAGGAAAGAGGGAGAAAAATTACAAGAAATTATTTAACTAGAGACCTTGTATATTCTCTCAAATAAGGAGAAGTAGGAGGAAGGAGACTTGAGGTAAAGACATAATCCTAATATGCAAAAGATGACTGATAAGTTCCCAATCTAATGTAATCTATTATTTCCTTTTGGTAAGTTTGCAAATGAGTTATCCAAATAGCATAGATGTTCAGCTTGAGGTTTGCCTCAACAAGGTATGACATTAAAATCACTCAATGCTGGGTTTAGCTCTATTTCATAGATTACAAGAAATTCCTGTTCCAAATGCGATATAAAGGATTTGACAATTTTGAAGAAAGTTTGATTATTTGAAATTTCACTTTCCTCAGTAAATTTCAGTTTTACAAGAAATTTTGAATACTAACATACTCTGAGTTTTCCCTACACCTTTATATCTTATTTCATTTCTTTAATAAGTCCAAAAAAATCTTATCAATTACCACTCATAGGAAATTAAAGACTTTTAGTGCGAGTTCGTAACATTCTTTGTTCTTTTATGGTCCATAGTAACTTTTCTTACATATAATCTCAAATCACATTTGCAGGGTGGATTGGGCTCTGTTCAAGGGGTTCTGTTCTCAAACATTCAAGTTTCTGAGGTCCAACTTCCAATTGTGATCGATCAATTCTACTGTGACAAAAGGGCATGTAAGAATGAAACAGCTGCAGTTGCTCTATCAGGAATCACCTATGAAAAAATAAGAGGAACATACACAGTAAAACCTGTGCACTTAGCCTGTAGTGACAGCCTTCCATGTATAGGAGTAACTTTATCTGCCATTGAGCTAAAGCCACTACAGGAACACTACCACCTATATGATCCATTCTGCTGGCAAACTTTTGGACAGTTGACCACCCCAACTGTCCCACCAATCAGTTGTTTACAAATTGGCAAGCCTTCAAATAACAGAGTCCAATCTGATCATGATGTGTGCTGAGCTTAGTCTAGGTAATTTATGGTGTATTCGCTTGTGTGGTCGGCATGGTTATCTGACCCCTTTCACACCATTCATTTATCAGGTATAGAGTGTATATTTAGGCGCCATCCTAGTTTATAGGCATTCTTCTTTGATAGGATTACACTGGTTCCTAGTTCCCACTATGTGAGATTATACAGGCTTGCTATCAGGTAGAGCCAAATACTGGAGTCCAAGTCTGTCTAGTTTGTTAAGGCAGATTGTTCGATTGTGAAATTTTATACAAATGCATTATCCACTAGATGTGCATCAATAAATCGCAATAAAGAGACATTTCGTTCTTCATATATAACAATCACTTAAAAGACTACAAAGGTATAAGCATAAGGTTAAATAAAATTAAACTCGCACAAACAGTCTATCTTCTAAAGCATTCAAGTTTGGTCAGGCATTCAAAAAGAATTAAAGTAGAAGCAAGCATGAAGATCAAATGACAAAACTATGTTGTCATAAACAGATTAGATATCGAAAGGAACAAGCTAAGACAAACAATAAATGGCAATAAGCATTAAGAAACAATGGCGGCAACCATGAACTGCAATCATTGATTGGGAGAAGGGGAAAGGGATTGGGAATCAGCTCTTTCAGTAGATGATGTGATTTGTTTTCTGAATTTGATGACTCATGAATCATATGAACATTTAATATAGAATACATATAACTGATAATTCTTCCATAATGTACCAGATCAATTAATTTTATACAGTAAGCAAAAGATTCATTTTACGTTTTTCAAGCAGACAATTCAAGCGCATCGACAACCTAAAAAGCAACATCAACCAGTTTAAGTTTAAATCAAATACTAATAATCAAAGAAACAGGGCAATTAGGGTACATAACAGATGGATGGAGAAGATGATCGGACTTGATTTCCTTCCTTTTCTCTCTCCGCTTTTTATCCTTTGACGTCCTCTTCCGCAAACACAAGCAGAGAGTCTGAGACCAGACTGAAATTCACTGACCTTTCAGCCCGCAGTATTTCCTTGTTATTTACTTATTTATATATTATATTTATAGCACTGGCAGCGCTCGAAAACGATGCGTTTGAGTAAACTCCCGCCAATGTTCAAAACGCACCGGTTTACGACGTCCGTAACAAACATCTCATCTTATCCGATCTCTAGCACTTGCTACGACACAGCGCACAAAATCTCAGTCCCACGGCGCCAGCAACGCCATCCCTCCTCCATTCTGTTGAGTCATCACCAACTCATGAAATAAAGAAACTATTCACTCTCTTTCAAACTCCGCTCTTCACTTAGGAAATTCCCTTTTAAAATTATACCAAAACCAAATATTCAAAATCCAAAGTCAAAGCTCATCATATCTCTTCTTTCTACAATGGCGCAGATTTCGGACAAGGAACTCAACGCCGTGACAAGGGGGATTGCAACCGTCTCCAACCATCTCCTGCCAGTCGATTCGGGCTCGAATTCCTTTCCGAGCCTTGGTTCCATCGGGTTCTGTAATGCTTCGATGAATGATAGCTATCATCGAATCCATGGTGAAGTTGCGAGCCATAGGTTGAGTGGAAAACTGCTTGTGATGAGTATGGCAAAGAGTTCACCGATATTATTTATGAAAAGGCTGTCGGCGAAGGCATTGCAAAGGTCCATTAAACTTTAGCTTCATTGAAAACTTAAAACTTAAAAGGGTATTTGTTCAATTTAAAACAAATGCTTAATTTTTTTTTTTTTTGTCTTTGTTTTGCTGTTGCTTTGTTTAGATTACCATAAATAGGCTAGAGAGAAGAAATGCTTTTCGGCCGCAGACGATCAAAGAGCTTATACGTGCATTTAATGATGCCAGGGATGACAGCTCCGCGGGAGTCATAATTCTCGCTGGGAAGGTAATGTCCGATTTCCATCCTATCCATAAATTATTGGCTTTTTTATGTTGATAATCTGTTGCTGTAGGGAACCAAGGCATTTTGTGGCGGAGGTGACCAGGCGTTGCGAAAAGCAGATGGTTATACTGATTTTGAACATTTTGGCCCCCTTAATGTTTTAGATCTCCAGGTACAAATTTCACATGTTGTAAACTTGCACTGAGTTGGCTTTGATGCGTTGCCCCAGCCAGAATTTTTGTGGAAGCTCGGCTGTATTTTGTTCTAGTAGTAGTATTTACATTTCTACGAATTCAAATAATATGCCTAATCTTCTGACCTTTGAATAAAACCCAATTGCATGTGCAAATTAGGCGCCATCCGAAACCAGTGATGGCAATGGTAATCTTTTGCTTCTCCTTATTCCAGCATAATGACAATATTCATGGCTTTATGGTTCCATTCTGTGGGATTGCATCATGCTTTTCAATTTGGTTTGGTCTTTAGACTTCTCTCAATCTTATAATCCAGGTTGCTGGTATGCTGTTGGAGGAGGACATGTGCTACATATGGTTTGTGATCTGACCATTGCGGCGGATAATGCCATTTTTGGCCAAACTGGTCCCAAGGTGCTTACATGTAATTTGCTCTGTTATGTTATGTAATAAAGCTCACTAGGAATGCCCTTCTCTACCCCCTGCTTGGTTGATTTTGTGATTTTCTCCTTGGATGGTGGTTCTGGTGCAAGGTGCTTGTGTTACTTTTGTAGTTTTGTTGTTGTTGTTAACCTGATTACTTTTATCTGATTGCTTATGCCAAAGGTAGGAAGTTTTGATGCTGGTTATGGAAGTTCCATTATGTCCCGTTTGGCAAGCACCAAAGAAAATGTCAGCCTTTATTTGGCATGATACTTGTTCTCTGCTTTCTCATATGCAATCTGAAGTCTGAACAGTGTGTGTGTCTGAATTCTGATTAACAGGTTGGACCTAAAAAGGCAGGTGAAATGTGGTTTCTTGCAAGATTTTACACAGCGTCTGAGGCAGTGAAAATGGGACTTGTCAATGCTGTTGCGCCGGTGAGTTGCTCTTCTTATGAAGAGTCCCTTTGCCTCTTCCATCTAATGAGCATGTCCTCATTTTCTCCAATTGATCAATTCCCTCAACCCTTATGATTGATAAAAATCAGACACTTAAAGATTAATTGATTTGGCATTTGACCAGCTAGAGAAATTAGAGCAAGAAGCAATTAAATGGTGCAGAGAGATCCTAAGAAATAGTCCAACAGCAATTCGAGTGCTCAAATCAGCTCATAATGCAGCTGATGATGACCATGCAGGTACCTATGCAGGACTCCAGGAACCCGCAATTTTTTTTTTTTTTTTTTGATGCAGGTTGTTTTGACCAAATCAATGGCTAAACCAAACCGGTTCCTAACAAACCCTCTATTTAAAAGTTAAAAACTTTTCAGTATGAAAACAAAATGGCTTCATTTCCTGTACTTTTCCAGGAACTTGGTGGAACTGCGCCACTCATTTTTTATTGCACTCAAGAAGAGAATGAGGGGAAGACAGCATAAGTGCAGCGTAGACGCCCAGATTTTTCGAAATTTCCTAGGCGACCTTAAAGTTAAATCTTCGAAGCTGCATTTGCATTAAAAATGTCAAGTTTTTGGTTTCTTATTTCTAAAAAGTTTCAATAAAGTATCAAACAACAGTTATCTTAATTTATGAAAATGAGACGGCTAAATCAACAAAAACACGAAACTATTGGGGGTGGATTCGAATCTGTCTTGTTATCAATTATAATGGTGTAAAATATGCTTGCTCTGTTGATGCCATGTTTGTTACTTAAAAAAGAAAAGTTAAATACACTTGTATTATATATTTTTTAATTAAATAAAAATTCCTAATTAGATATTTGAATTTGTATTTGTAACTAAAATTATTATAAAAGTTATGTGACATATTTGATCAATAAAAAAGAGTAAATGTAGGATAAAGGTTACTCAGTTAGCGCTTCAGCGTCCTCGAATCTTCATCACGTCAAAAATAATAAATTAAAAAAAATTAAAAAACAATTTTTTTAAGCAACAAAAAGTGGACAAATTAAAAGGAAAAAAGTTTAAAGAAAATATGAAATCTTTTTTAAAAGAATTAAAACATTTTTTTTTAAATTCAAAATCTTTGAAAAAAATTAAAAAAATCATAATATCGAAAATTCTTTTAAAAAAATAAAAATCTTGATTTTTTAAAAAGTTCAAAACCTTGATTTTTTTAAAATTATAATCTGGAATTTTAAAGAAAATCATAAAAGTAAAAAAGAAAAGAAAAAGAAAAAATCAGAGAAAATATGAAATTTTTTAAAAATTAAAATATGAATATTTAAAAAGGCCAAATATGAAATATTCTTTTAAAAACCAAAATCTTGGTTTTTTTTTTAAAAAATTCACCAGCTAAAAAATAATTTAAAAATTTAAAATAAAAAAATTGTCAAACAAAAAAAAAAATAAGAAGGGGAGAATAAAGGAGAGATTAATTGGCATCAAATTAATTACGATTTGAGACAAATTAGTCTTCCCCCCAACTTTGAATTATTTAAAAAAAAAAAGATCTGAAATTTGATTTTTACACTACTAAAATCTACCTTATAAAATCGGAGCGGATTAAAACCGATGATGACGTCAAAATTTTTTTCCCAAAGATAATGACATCAAATTTCGCTCCTTTAAAAATAATTATGTTTGACTTCTCTTTTTAATGTCAAACACAAATTTCATTTTTTTCTTATTTTCTGCCATTTCTAATATTCATTCTCTTTGAAATTTATTTTATATATTTAAATTAAATAAATAGAAAATCCAAATTCGTGTTTCAGTTTGATGGTATCGTAGGCCAACTCCATCTCCATGTTTTTTAGTTGAAAATTTAAAGCTAATCAAAACCCTAAAAAGAGAGAATGAGTGGCAACGAATTTCGATTCTTCTTGTCTTGCGACATCAATCTTCCCGTCACCTTTCGCGTCGAGAGATTGGAAGGGACTTTGCCTTCCACCAAATCTCCCAATTCAGGTTTCACTCCATTTTCACTTGCTATTACGAATTTCAATCACTTTATTTTAACTTTTCAATTTCTAACTCATCTTTGCACCATTTTGATGATAATTTCACTATTACAGTTAGCACAAAAAATTTAGCGAATTATTTAAAATTTTTAAAGTTTTATGCTGCAGCATACTGAAATTCTAATTTTCTTTCACTTTCAATTTGAAAATCTGAAATTACTTGTATATTTTTTTAAAAAAATGGTATAATTGTCTAATTTTCTTTCACTTTCAATTTGAAAATCTAAAATTACTTGTATATTTTTTTTAAGAATCGTTATAATTGTCTATCATCGGTTTCTGATTGCTTTACAGGAATGGATTCCACTACAGAGGAGAGGAAAGCAGAGCTCTATGTGGAGTGTGCATTGTACATTGATGGTGCGCCATTTGGCCTTCCAACAAAAACAAGGTTTTTCCTTCTATTCAGAACAGAAAATTCCATTAATCAACTAATTAATCAATTTCTTTTCTTGTGTTTCAAGTTTTTTTTTTTTTTAATGTTTTTACTCTCTCAAATAATTTATCAGTGCTTGGGTACTGATATCTTGTTTTGTTATCAGGTTGGAGTCTGCCGGACCATTGTATTGCTGGAATGAACTAATCACATTGAGTACTAAATATAGAGACTTAACTGCACACTCACAACTTGCTTTGACGGTGAGTGAAAAAAAAATGTTGCTTTTCTTTCTCATGGCCTAGGTGTTTTCAAGTTGTATTCTCTGTTTGTGTGGGTTGGCAATGTGAGTTTGTATGTCAGTTTTGAGTGTGAACAAATATGCATAAGAGAGCTTCATTCCATAAATTTTGTGCCATCCATTGTATCAACTTCCTCCCTTATTTGAATCTTTCTATGCATATGGGGCAAAACCTTAACTGCATCTGTTGTGTTATGTCCCATAGGAATTTCTGTATAATCCTGAAATGGAAAAGGCTTCTCCAGAATGCTACTAATCATCACCTGGTTTCTTTTAATTTGAATGTCCTTGATGGTATCTTTATTAGTATGAATGTCATTGATGTTAGTTCTGAGACTGTCGAATAGTCCATTTGGTGGGCACTGCATGTATTTTATCAAAGCTTTTAAAATTATTGATCATGAATATATCTTGGTCTGAAGACAACCTCTCAACAAGTTGCTTTTTGAGATGAGGTATCTATTCTTGAGATTAAGTAGGAATGCCCCTGACGTATTACGTGGCATTTACTGCACAAGGTGTTAAATTTTCTTTGGTATTTTTCATGCAGATAATAGATGGAGATTACCTAACTTCAGCTGTTTTGCAGTGCTCAAGATTTAAACTTTAGAGTTTGCATTATTGCTTTCATGGAGATTTGTGCCTTTGTCATGCAAATTGCCAAAAATTAATGTTATTGAGCTTTTTATAGTAAATTTTCTTTCCCTCTATTTAAAAATAATATTTTGACATTTCCTGGTTTAACCTTTTACTTATTGTCAATCTCCTGGAGTGCTCAGGTTTGGGATGTGTCGTGTGGGAAAGATGATGGATTAATTGGTGGGGCTACTATTCTTCTATTCAACGGCAAAATGCAACTTAAAACGGGGAAACAGAAACTTAGGCTCTGGTTAGGAAAACAAGCAGATGGATCATTTCCAACAACTACACCTGGAAAGGTTTTGGTTGCGGTGCATAATTTTTCTGGTTTTGGCATTTGGTTAGATGGTTACATTTTTTAATGTATACGTTAATATATCCCACTATAGGTCCCTCGGGATGAGCGTGGAGAGTTAGAGCGTTTGGAAAAGCTTGCAAATAAGTATGAAAGGGGACAGATTCAACCTGTTGATTGGCTAGATCGTCTCACATTCAAGGCTATGGAGAGAATCAAGGAAAGGGAAAGCTTGAAAAATGGAAGCTCTCATTTATACTTAGTTGTTGACTTCTGTAGTTTTGAACATCGAGTTGTTTTTCAGGTATGCTCCGGATCCACAATTATCATACAATTTACTTGCTAGTGGTTTTTGTTGAATAGTTTATATTCTCAATAATAACGACTTATTTATGACTTTCTTCTTTCTCTTATTGGGGGGTAAATTACAAAAATTCATTCTGGGGTTAAGGGTGGAATACACATGCCCCATGAGGTTTAAGAAGTGATAGTGGTTTTTTTACGTCAATTTTGAAGCCAAAATCATTCATTATTTTTCCTTTCCCTTGCTTTTTTTCCTTTATTTTTCCTTGAGTTTGTAGCCCTTCTCTCTCTAACAATGTCATATATGTCATTTTTCCTATAATAGTCTTGATTTGAAAATTAATGGAAGAATCACAGTTTGGTAAATATGGTGGGTGTTTTTTTTTGTAATGTATCCTTTTCTTTCTCATACTAATCTGGTCAAATCTAATTTAATTATTTGAATGATTTAATATTAGTTCAAAAGCTAAAATCTGACATTCGGTAACAAAATTGTAATTTTCTTCTTACTTATACTGAATTTCTTGGGGACTTATAAGGGAAGTTTAACATATTCATGACATCTCTGAGCATTTTAACAATTACATTTCAGTGCATACGTTAAGGTTATGTTTTGTAACTTGAACTTAAAGGGAGGGATTTGGATTTTAAATTTAGTATAAGTTGCAAAGTAAATATGATCTTCATGATTATTTTCAAATTCATGGATTTGTTGGTTCTCTATTTAGTGGTGAATTTGAAATACCCATAGGTATTTGGAAATTGAATTTCTTCTTCTTATACCCTTTCAAATATGTAGGCATATTGAATCTTAACTAATTTGTGCATGGTTTGTGCATTTCATTCTCACAATTTGTATAGCAAACTAAATCTAAATCCACTACCTCAAATTCATCTTTCCAAACATAATATAAAGGAAATTGCATTAACCAAGTTTTGCAAATTTTTATTTTCCAACCAGAATAGTCCTACCTAATTTTCTTTTGTATTGCAGGAATCAGGGGCAAATTTCTTATTACCTTCTCCAATAGCGTCATCAAATGAACTAGTTATTGTGTGGGACCCTGAAGTGGGAAAGATAAACCCTTCTGAGCACAAGCAATTGAAGCTTGCAAGGAGTTTAACTCGTGGTATCATTGACAGGGAGCTTAAGCCAAGCTCTAATGAACGAAAGTAAGTTCAAAAACAACTTGAAACTTCTCCTACCCTGCAAATTTGTCTGTCAGCCTGGATGTTTGCTTCTAACATGCATATTATAGTTGAAATAGAACACTACATCAATTCATCTGATTGTGCATAGAAGTTTATAGTTCTGTAGCAAGTATTTACTGAAATTTGGTTGAGTAATACGAGAGCAACAACTCTTTGAAGATTCTCATGGGTGGTTTTCTTATTCCTACAATATGTATTCTTCTAAGTGATTTTTTTTAATAGAATTGTGTTCATCAATCATTTTTTCTTGGGAAAGAACTATATAATTTGTTTTTAATTGTAAGGTCAATACAACGAATTTTGAAATATCCACCTACAAGGGCTTTGAGTGGAGATGAGAGGCAGCTCCTTTGGAAATTTCGCTTCTCATTGATGTCTGAGAAGAGGGCCCTCACAAAATTTCTTCGATGTGTTGAATGGAGTGATGTTCAGGTTAGCAAATTCTTTTTGTTCTTGTTTTTTCTTGTGAATTTCAATGTCTCGGCCAATTTATGGGAAAACTACTCCCTGATTATTCTTTCATTGTATCTCTTCTGCTTCAAACTTCTCTCTCTCTCTCTCCCCATTAATTTCTTTTAATTCATCATGCTGGCATCTTCTGATTCTATTATGTTACCAGCTTTTATCTAATACTAGAACATATATGGTGTCATGGTCTTCTTTGAATATGTCCATATTTTATGAATTCTGTTTTTTGATCCAATAAACCATCTAATTTTTTGAAATTATAGAAAGATGTCAGGGGAGGGCTGCAGAATAAAGAAACTTGTTGTATGTGATTCAATAATCTGTAAAAGGGTCTGTTTTTGTAATTGTTGGCATCAATGCGCATTAAGCTCAGATTTACAGGTCTGAACTGCGAACTTTTCTGAGTTAGCTGCCTTTCTCCACCTGTGATTTTTTATTTTAATATCGTTACTGAGCAGAATAGATAGTAAATATTCTAATTAAACATAAGGATCATATTTGAAGATTGTGGTCCATATGTCTGCAGGAAGCAAAGCAGGCAATAGAACTTATGGGCAAGTGGGAGATGATTGATGTCTGCGATGCTTTGGAGCTTCTATCACCACTTTTTGAAAGTGAAGAGGTGGGTCTAAGTAAGATTTGGCTGTTATTTGTGGGGAATCTTTTGGGACATCTGTTAGAACTGGAAACTGCGTAAGATACCCTTAGATCTTAGGGTGCGTTTTTCTTGTGTCATTAACATTAAAGTTCTTAAATTATTCTGATACATAATTAGCCTAACTGAGTTGGTTTCTCACCAACTTAGTCTCCTTTCAAGTTTTTCAAGTGAGTGGGACCTTTTTCCACATCGAACTTCATTTCTCCTATATGCTTGGTCTTTATCCATTATAAAACTGCTGCTCTCTACTAATTTTCTCCCCTTTACTGTTTTTAATGTAATTTCTTCTAATATATCTTAGGTATCAAAATGTCTTCTTTGTTTAGCATCCATGTGTCACAAAATTTAGTGTATGCATACACGTGGTTAGGTATATGTCATTTTAAAGGTTTAAAGTTTGGGACAAAATGTCATTTGCACGACATATCTTATTGTACCAAAATCTGTTACTTCATACTTGACAGGCTGATCAGGAAACAACTAAAGTATCCTTATAGCATTTTTTCTACAGTTTAGATTGAATCGGATAATCTATAATATCTTATTCCTTTATCCTTATAGCATTTTGTCTACAGTGTAGATTGAATTGGATAATCTATGATATCTTATTCCTGATTGAATAATGTTAAAGTATTGATCATTCTTAACAGGTTCGTGCATATGCTGTTAGTGTTCTTGAAAGAGCTGATGATGAAGAGCTCCAATGTTACTTGCTTCAACTAGTTCAGGCACTTCGATTTGAACGCACTGATAAATCTCGCCTTTCTCAATTCCTTGTGCAGTGTTGTATGTTCCTCTATGCTTGTGTGAACATATTGTTTGTGTGTGTTTGAACACTGATAAATCTTGCCCTTCTCAATTCCTTGTGCTATGTTGTATGTTTTCTTTATGCTTGTGTGAACATAATGTTTGTGTGTGTTTGAGCACAATATATGCTGTTTTTTTGCAGTACAATTGTTGACACCATTTCTTTCCCTTCTCCTTTTAACAATTGCCTAGATTCCCATTCTTTCCCTTTTTTTTTTTATAATGTCTTTAGTGGAGCTTTCTTTTCTCTAAAACTCTTCTCTCTCTCTCTCTCTAAACCATCTTTTGCTCTTCTTTCACTCTGTAGCCCTATACTTTCTCTCCAAAGGAAAAATCTTCCTTTGTGTTTTTTTGCCTTCTCCTATTTATAGGGAATTAGGGATAAAAGATTGGAGATAAATATTTTGATCTAACCTCCTCTTATTAGCTGAATATTTTTTGGTTGGGAGTAGTGATTCATAAAAATTACTACATTTTACTTGTGATAAAAAGGTTCATCTACCATTCACTTAAGTAAATTAAAGTAATTAAATTGGATTTTATCTCATATTCGAAAAGTTCACAAATAATAATGCTCTTATCAGTTGGTAGCATCTGAAAGTATTCTTGAACTTTTACAGCTTTACGTAATATTGAGTTGGCTAGTTTTCTACGCTGGTTTGTTGCTGTGGAACTTCACGATCCTGCCTATGCAAAACGATTTTATTCTACTTATGAGTTCCTAGAAGAAAATATGATGAAGGTATGAGTCCCGATTTTCTATTACTGAATATTGCCATCTGCTTTTCTGTATAGGAATAGGAATAGTTTGTACAATTATGATAAATGATTGGTCTCTAATTTGCATTTTTGAAAAGTGCAAGTTGCAATAATGTTGTTAGCATCATTAATTCTACTTTATGACTTGCAACACTGAAGAGCTTGATTTCTCTTTGTGGTGGATTAGTAATCACTCATGTTGTTACAGTTGACAGCTGGTGTAAATGGAGAAGAAGATGGATATAAAATGTGGCAGAGTTTGGTACGCCAGACAGAATTGACAGCCCAGTTGTGTTCTATAATGAGAGATGTGAGAAATGTTCGCGGCAATACCCAAAAGAAGATTGAAAAGCTTAGACATCTGCTTTCCGGTCTTCTTAGTGAACTTACTTACTTTGATGAGGTATTTATTTGACACGAATTTCCATGCTAAATAACCTTGTAAGGATTCTATGGACAATTGAACAAGTGTCTGCTGAGTTTTACAAAGCTCCATAATTGTATTTCTATCTTGTTTTCAGCCAATACGATCGCCCTTGGCTCCAAGTGTCCTTATCACTGGAATTGTGCCTTCAGAGTCATCAATATTCAAAAGTGCACTGCATCCTTTGCGACTGACTTTCCGAACAGCCAATGGTGGACAATGCAAGCTCATATTTAAGAAGGGTGATGATATTCGGCAAGACCAATTGGTAATTGATAATTTTCTGCGGTGGCATTAACAAAATTCTAGTAGAAAGATCAGAAAAGGCGGTGACATTCCTTCATGTGGTTAATGTAACTGATGTGTTTCCTGTAGGTTGTTCAAATGGTATCTCTAATGGATAGATTACTAAAGTTGGAAAATCTTGATCTGCACTTAACTCCATATAAGGTGCTGGCAACCGGACAAGATGAAGGCATGTTGGAATTCATACCATCCCGTTCTTTGGCACAGGTATTATATTCTATAAAAGATGCTTCTCCAATGAGGGAAGGGCAGTCGCAGCAAATAGCATTAAATCACTGTGTTTCGTCTACAAATTTTGCTGCAAAGCTTTTTTTTTTTTTTTTTTTCTTTTCTTCATCGTTGATGAAGCTTTATGTACACATGCATACTCTATAGATTTTCAATATGCATAGCCTCTGCAAATTGTTAATTCTCTTCATTGATGTTTTTTACTTTAATGTGTTCATGATGGTTGTGATCTTGCTAAGGAGTTTTTGGATGCATTTCTTTTGCAGATTCTTTCAGAGCATCGAAGCATTATAAGCTATCTGCAGAAATTTCATCCTGATGAACATGGATCATTTGGAATTACTGCCACTTGTCTTGAAACCTTTATAAAAAGTTGCGCTGGCTACTCTGTTATCACATATATACTGGGAATTGGAGACAGGTGATTGTTTATTCATCTATAATATCTAAATAATTTCTATGCACATTGCATTTTTGTAAAAAAAATTTCAGATTGGCATCTAATATTAGCCATGGATTTTCCATCATTTAATTTGCAATTTCTGAAGACAAATCTTTTTGGCTTGCAGACACCTTGACAATCTTCTGCTTAGGGAAGATGGACGCCTTTTCCATGTTGATTTTGGTTTTATTCTTGGCCGAGATCCTAAGCCATTTCCACCGCCAATGAAACTTTGCAAAGAAATGGTTGAAGCTATGGGTGGAGCAGAGAGGTATCTTGTTCCTCCTTTCCCAAATTTTATTATACTTTATTATTTTCTTTTCATTTTTTCTTCTCTTTCCATCTCATGCTGAATAAGCTCTATTAGATTACACATGCCCATATTTGGTCTTGACCAAGGAAACTTAAATGTTTTGCTGTGACATTAATATGCATAAATGCTATTTCATTTTGCAGCCAATATTATACAAGGTTCAAATCCTATTGTTGTGAAGCATACAACATTCTCCGTAAATCTAGTAACCTCATTTTAAATCTTTTCCATCTTATGGCCGGTTCCAACATTCCAGATATAGCATCTGATCCTGAAAAAGGCATCCTTAAGGTGAGTTTCTTTATGTTTTAAATCTGATGATCATGCTGGAACAAGGTTTTTCACCTGTTTTAACCAATTCTGTTGGCGGTATAGCTCCAAGAGAAGTTTCGACTGGACTTGGATGATGAGGCCTGCATACATTTCTTCCAAGATCTTATCAATGAGAGTGTTAGTGCCTTGTTTCCTCAAATGGTTGAGACTATTCATCGGTGGGCTCAATACTGGCGTTGATCATCATAAAAAAGTTTAGTATTTTCAATACCTGTTGTAAATGCATAGGTATATTTAGCTCGCCTATTTTGAGGTGCCCTGTTAATGGTTTGAGTTTTCGCATGTTGTGGCAAACAGATTTCTCAATAGATGAAACGGACTGGGCCAAAAACAACTGACAATATCTGACAGGTTGTCAACAACTTCTGTGCTCTTTTAGATAATACACGTCGAGAATGTTCTGTTTTTTATACCAAGGCTCTGTGCAACAGCCATTGAGTTTGAGGATGTAAACCTGATCTACTATTGTGAATGATTGTAAATATATTCTTTTTTGCGGTTGTATCTTTCGATTTAGGTTTGAACCGTGTGGTGTCATGGCTAGTTTCAACCTCTTGCATTTGCATCCCAAGCCCAATGTTGAAAAATCGACGGCGGATCTCAGTTCTAATTCTCGCGGCCATTGGGTTGGGTCAACTAGAACCAAATTTCAACTGACAGGTCGGATTGAATCCCCTTCCTTTCTATTGTGGGTAGGTCTGTCAAAAGAACAATGTTTCGCAATCTATCCCTTGAAATATTTATTTGATTAAAAAATATTATGCATATAAATTCTTTTAAATCTGATCATTATCGTTTAAAATTCGTTGGTTAAGAACGAATCGTGGTTTGATTTCGTTGGTTTATCAGTTCAATTCATTGCTTGCGAGATGAATTTTATATTATACTAGTGGGAACATTCGTGTGATGCTGTGGATTTATTTTAGTGATCCTAATAAAGTTGTTAGCTGGTGAAACTAAAGCTAGCAATGAAAATAATTGCATCAAATTAAAAGTTTTAAGTTATTCCGTAAGTTTGACATAAAATTGATTAAAAAAAAAAAGATAGTTAAATTTAAAGTTACAGCATAATAATAAATGAATTTAATCATAGTCATGATAGATGATAATTTGGAAAGTACTGTATGTGATCGTAGCAAAGAGCAAATAGTCGTCAACTTTATTGTTAGTAACGAATTTCTTTTAGCCTCTTAAGAACGATTTGTTTCAAGTATTGTGATATCTAGTTCGGAATTTGTTTTCTGCAGGAACAAGGTAACATAACTATAATGGTAAGGGAGATATTGGAAATAAGTTGGAATATGCTACATAAACAAAATGGTAAAAAAATTGTTAATAGAGTTTGTAAAAAGTGGTAAATCATAATTTGAATATATAGTTCATTGTATAGTATTCATCACCAAAATGGAATATGTTTTAATTGTAGACAACGATTTATGTCTAGGGTCGATTGAGTCAATTTTATTATTTTTATTATTATTATTATTACTAGTATAGTATATCAATACTATTATATTATATTATGGTAGTTTATTATATTATGTTATATGGTATATTATTATTATTATTATCTTATAGTTATAATAATAATAATAATAATAATAATAATAATTATTATTATTATTATTATTATTATTATTATTATTTTTATTTTATTTTTCTTTTCTTTCTTGTTTCGAGTCTGGTGTGAATTTTGAAAACTAAAATCTGATCGGAGGAATTCAACACAATCAACGGTTTTATTGCATAATTGAGGTTATAGATTCAAACCATGAAATTAGGTAAGAATTTAGACTCAATTTGGGGTTCGAATAGAATCCAATCTCAGGATTCAAGCTTGGGATTGATGCTGTTTGTTTCTTAAAATTTATCTTAAGAGGCCTATAAATTGGACAAGAAATCATAGAAAAAAAAGAGGTGAATTTCGATTACACGGTGAAAAGTTGGAGAAAATTTTGAGTAGTAGGCTTCTGGATTTTGATCTAGAAAAATTTTGGGAATACTGATGATTCTGGGTTTAGTTTTAGGTTTCTGGAGTAGGGATTGAAGTTCTAAAAAGATTTGGAAGAAAATTGAAAAAATTTGGGGAATCTGATATTTTTCTGAAAATTTTGGATTTTTTTTGAAAAATATGAAATTTTCGATGAATATTTGAATTTGTCGATGAATTTTTTGGTAGGAATTTGAATTTTTCGAGCAGATTATGGTCAGATTTTCAAAAACTAACAATAAACCTAGTTTTCAATTGAATTTCTTAGGACATTTTAGAGAGAAGAGAGAGAAAATTAGAATTAGAGAGAGTGTGGCTCAGGGAATTATGAGAAAAAGCTAAGAAGCGTGACTTTTATACGATGCCAAAAAGACACTGTTTTATAAGTCCTAAACCCATAGACAAACCCGTTAACCTGCGTATTGACTCGTGCATAGACCCGACCTGATCGCAAGGTTTTTTTTTTCATTTTTGTTTTATTTTTTTATTTTCATATTTTAAGTTTTTATTTTATTTTCAATTTTTTATCTTATTTTATTTTACTATTTATTTATTTTATTTAGTAATTCAATGTTTATATAAAAAAATCTTTTCTTTTTAGGAAAATAGAAAAAGCAAAAAATTAAAAAAGTTAAAAAATTAAAAAAAATAAAAAAAATCTTTTTTTAAATAAAAATCCTTACAAAATAAATTCAAAAAATTTACCCAGTTATTGGAGGATTTTCATAGATTTAAACTTTATGGAATCCACCAAACTATTGAAAAATTTCAAAAATTATTTTTTTTCAAAAAATAAAAAATAACTTTTATCCTTCAAACTATTGGAGGATTGCTTCCCAAATTAAGTCTTATCGAACTATTAGGAGACTTGATGAAATTCTTAAAATTTTACAAATACTCTTTTTACAATAAAATCTCACAAAACTATTATGAGATATTCTTCAAAGTAAGTTCTATCAAACCATTGGGAGACTTTATTAATTTTTTTGAATAAAATACATTAATAAATTTGATGATGGAGCCCCTTCAGAGTGAGATATTAGTCTTCATGAATACTCTTGAAATGCAAAATTTATCTTAAATTGTTATCAAACTATTCGGACAATTTTATGATTAATTTTCAATATTAAATTTTTGGTAAAGTATAAACATTTTTTGGCTTGGATAATTTGAAATCAAATTGATACCATCATTTGGATAGGCACTGTAGGGGTGCTATGACCTTTCTCACGCGTAATCGTACTTTCAAACTTAAACTATAGTTTTGTAGATCAAAATCTATTATTTAAAAAATACCTAAATCAATTTTAGGATTCCTCTTTAAATATGACAGATTCAATTATGTGGCCAATCACACCTAAATAAAAAAAAGATTGGTGGTGACTCTTCTAAACCATGTCTAGCAGTAGGTCAACAGATCTATATATTATGACAGTTTGATGACTCCACTGGGGATATCGAGAGTCAGGCTAATAAATAATTTTTTATTATCCAAGCCTTGCTTAATAAATTTGAGATTATTTTCTTTCTTTCTTATTTCTTTTTTTTCATTGTTTATATTCTGTTAGTTATTCACCTGTATATATCTGTCATTCATTTACGTGTACATAACATAGAGCTTTCCACCCGAACTCTACCTTTAGGAAGGAGTGAAGTACTTATACCCTCGTAAAATATCATGTCTCTGCATGAGCCTGTGAAACACTCACTCAAATTGAACCATTTTTTTTTTGTAGCCTATAATGGGTAAGGATCGGGGTACTTTACTAGTTTGTGATGTATTATGATGTAAGGAACAATTTAGGAACCTTTTAGAAATAATCCAAATCGCATATAGTTAACTTTAAGAGCCTAATCATAAATAGAGCCATGTCCTTTCACCTTTTATAGTTAACCCAAAATTTAGGGTCATGTTGCTATTTTACTTGCTTTATAGTGTTTATTCTTTAATTTTTTTATTGAGGTGACGAACCAATTTTTTTATCTTTTTTTTTATCTTCTTGTGCATATTCATAAACATACATATAGATTGTATATTATGCTTACTAACTTTTTTATTGTGTACGCATGCATTCATCACTGCATTCATTCTCATACATAATCTGATAGGTCTATAAACATCATTTTAAATTTGCACCATAATTGTAGGAAATCAAGGTTTAAGGATAGCTCAACACCAGCACTACACTTAGGCTAAAACCAAGAAAATGAAGCAAGATAATGCAAATCATCTCGGAAAGATAGAAAAGGCCTAGGAGATACTTGAAGGAAAATTGAGCAAAATTTTGAAAGCTTTGGAAAAGGGAAATAGAGAAAAGGCAATAGAGGAAGATACCTCACCTGAAGTTACTAAATCAACATATCTTTTAGGTTTCGATCCACATCAGACTTAAATTGCCCCAAATTTTCAACCACAATAGGTAACCATTCCAAATTACAACTACCTGAAAATGACTTATACACCTGGTCATGATAATGTCCAAAGTTATAATAATCCCATTTTCATTGAAAAAGCAGTCGAGCCCATTCAATTTCTTACTCTGGATAAGATAAAAGAGAAAAAAAGTTACAGATAGTTGTACCCCTAGAAAACTCTAAGATTGACCAACAAATAAGCATGATTGAGGAAAAATTACGAGTTGTAAAAGGCATTGATTTCTATGGATCCATAGATGCTGCCAACCTTTGTTTAGTTTTAGATATTATGATTCTTTCAAAGTTTAACGTACCAAAATTTAAGAAGTATGACGGTACCAAATGCCTTATTATGTATATCACAATGTACTATCGTAAGATGACAGCTCATGTCGACAATGAGAAACTGCTCATGCATGTGTTTCAAGATAGCTTGATTGGGTCTGTTATAAGATGGTATGTCTAGTTGGATATGACTCACATTAAGTTGTGAAAAGATATAACTTAGTCTTTTATTAGCCAATATCGCCACATCATAGATATAGCTCTTGATCATTTCTCATTATAAAAGATGGAGAAGAAAGCATCTAAATCTTTTAAAGAGTATGCCCAAAGGTGGCAGGATGTCACTGTTCAAGTACAACCCTTTTGACAAAAAAAAGAGATAACAGTGCTATTTGTAAGCATTCTCAAGTCACCATACTATGAAAAGATGATAGGGAACACAACAAAGAACTTTGTTAACATCGTGATTTTAGGAAAGATCATTGAAAATACAATCAAGAACGGTAAATTAAAAGAAGAAGAATCTTCTACTACTAAAAAGATGTCTAAGAAAAAAGAAAGTGAGACTCAAATAGTGAGTTTTGACAAGCAACAATCTAGAAACTATCTTTAGTCAATCTATCCCATATACCATTCACCAATAAGTCATGCTTTAGCTATAGTATACCAATCAACTCCATGACTTTCTTACTTATCCTCACCTAGGCCCTTTATTCGTCCAATTACCCTAACAAGTGGTGTGCGAAAGCACGGAGCTAGGAAAAGCCTACATTTGACCCTATCCTTATGAGTTATACAAAATTGTACCAAAAGCTTTACAAAAATCATTTGATTGCTTCCATTCTTACAAAATAACTCAAACCTCCATACCTCAAATAGTATGACTTAACTACTCACTGTGACTATCATTTTGGGGAGATGGGCCATTCCACTAAAAATTATATTCCTTTGAAACATATGGTGCAAAGATTGATTAAAGAAAGGTTGATAAATTTTGATACCAGTGGAAACACAACATCCAATGTTAGTGGTAACCTGTCGCCCAATCATCCAAGGGCATAATTTTGGGGAAGTTAATTGAAATTACTTATCATCTTAGACTGCTTGAGAATATGAATCCTCTTTTATGTACTTAGATTTCATTTTATTTTTCATCATTTTAATAAAGTGACATGCTTGATGCATTTTCATGATTTTTTTTTGTAAGTACCCATTATCTA